GTGGCGCAGGACTTAGGAGTAGCAGTAGCAGCAGGAGCAACAGTAGCAGTAGCTAAGGGGCCAAGGGGCCGGGCCGAGGGGCCTAGAGGCCGAGGGGCCAAACAGAGGGCCGAGGGGCCGAGGGGCCTAGGGGCCGAGGGGCCAAACAAGAGGGCCGAGAAGGCCGAGCCTAGGGGCCGAGGCTAGGGGCCGAGGCTAGGGGCCAAGGGGCCGAGGGGCGGGGCTGAGGGGCCAAACAAGGGGCCGGCCGCTGGCTAGGTACTGGGCCGGGCACGGGCTAGGTACGGGGCCGGGCGCTGGGCTCTGAAATGGGGCCGAGGGGCCTAGGGGGCCGAGGGGCCAAACACGAGGGCCGAGGAGGCCGAGCCTAGGGGCCGAGGGGCCAAACAAGCGGCCGGGCGCGGGCTAGGTACGGGGCCGAGTCGAGGGCTAGGTATGGGCCGAGCACGGGCGCGGGTGTCGACGAGGCGCGAGCTAGGTACGGGGCTGGGCACGGGTGTCGACGGGGCGCGGGCTAGGTACGGGGCCGGGCGCGAGTGTCGACGGGGTGCGGGCTAGGTACGGGGCCGGGCACGGGTGTCGACAGGGCGCGGGCTAGGTACGGGCCGGGCGCTGGCGTGAGACGGGGCCGGGCGTGGGCTAGGTACGGGCCGGGCGCGGGCGAGAGACGGGCCGGGCACGGGGCTAGAAACGGGCCGATCGCGGGCTAGGTACGGGTCGGGCGCGGGCGAGAGACGGAGCCGGGCGCGGGCTAGGTACGGGCCGGGCGCGGGGCTAGGAACGAGGCCGGACGCGGGGCTAGGGGCGATGGGCCTAGGGAGGTAGTCACAGTGTAGCAGGTGGTGGGCCCAAGTAACCTACTCTGATTCCATGTGAAAATAACAAACGAGAATGGATGAACTAGCAAACAGTTGGGTACAAGTACTAACCCTAATTGGGTTGTACCCCTTATGGGCTACCCCACTACAGCCTACACAAATGTATAAGCTATAATGTTCTGACACCTCGTACCGCCCCTGCAGCCCCGCGCGCCGCCCCTTGTGGCCCGCCCGTCGCACCTAGGCCCCGCGCGCCGCCCCTTACGGCCCGCCCGTCGCCCCTGCTTGCCCTGTTCCTTGCGCTGCCCGGCTCTTGCCCGCCCTGCGTGCTGCGCTGCTATGGCTTCTCTCCGCGTACTCGCGTTCGATCATGAGGGCCGTCCGATCCAGTTCGACACGTGGCACGAAGACTTACACCTGTACCTACTGAGCGACTCTAGAGACAGCATTTCGTTGCTTGACCACACGTCTGGAGCCTCTCCCGCCCCTCCCGCCACAACTGACACTGCAACTCGCTCACAGTGGCTTACTCGTGATGTTGTTGCTTGCTTAGCCATTCGCAACCACCTGCTGTTAGCCGAATGCGCTCACTTCGGACAACACAGGACTGCACAGGCACTGTACGACGCTGTAGTCGCCTGTTACTCCTCGCCTACCACTGCTGCTCTAGGCCGTCTTCTACTGCCCTACCTGTTTCCCGAGCTGTCCGCTTTTGCCATATTAGAGGACCTCGTTACCGACCTTTGCACTAGCGACGCTCGCTACCGCGCTGCCCTCCCAACATAGTTCCTTGACACGAACCCGCTCCCGATGTACATCACTCTCTACTTTATAGGCACCCGCCTCCCTGACTCTCTTCGCGATGTCAGGGACCACTTTCTCGCACTTGACCCCACATCCCTAACTGTTGACCTACTCGAGCAGCACCTCCTTGCAGCTGAGACTAGTGTAGTCAGTGTAGGTGCCGCTCGTGGCACTCTTAGCACACCCTTTTTTTATGGGTGTTCCCCCTCCCCCCTTGCCCCCTCCTACGCCTCTGCTGCTGCTGTTGACGTCCTTGGTGCTGAGGATGTCGGGGCTGCTTCTGCTAGTGGGAAGCGCCGCAGCAGCAAGGGCAAGGGTGGCAGGGGTGGTGGCGGTGGCAGCGGGGGTGGTGGTGGGGGCAGCAGTGGAGGTGGTGGAGGCAGTGGAGGTGGTGGCGGTGGTGGGAGTGGTGGCGGGAGTGGGGGCTTTGGTGGTGGCGGTGGTGGCAGCGGTGGGGGTGGCGGTAGTGGCGGCAATGGGAGTGGTGGCGGTCGGGCTGGAGCTACTCAGCGTGGAGGTTCTGGCGATGGCCAGAGGCAGCAGCAGCAGCGTCGGAGCGAGACCCCATCGCCCCAGCAACTTCGTGAGTGGTTTTCTTAGCGTGGGGCGTCTGGGGGTAGTGGTAGCTGCCCGTATGTCATTCGCACGGGTGACCGTGCTGGTCAGATATGTGGGAAGCCTCACACTCAGCACCGCTGCTTCTCCCGCCTAGACGACGCTTGGCGCGCAGAGTTTGGTGACGAGGCGGAGCGCCCCCGCTGGGCAGAGCTGCTTAGGTCTGGAGTTGCTATCTTTGACCTAGACTATGATGCTATCCTTGCTGCTATGCTGCGAAGAGGGTGTTGCGATAGTTGTGCAGTACATCGGGCATGGGGCTTATGCTTGGAGGACGGGCTCAAGTTGTCCTCACTGGTAACGCTGACGCCTCCTGGGTTGACGACTTGGCTACGCAGCGGTCGTCACAGGGTTACACCTTCAGTCTTGGCTCCGGTTCTGTCTCTTGGCAGTCTACCCACTCTTCTTCTGTTCTCAGCTCCAGTTGGGAGGCTGAGATCTACGCTGGGGCCATGGCTGCACAGGAGCTACGCTGGCTCACCTACCTGCTGACCAACTTGGGAGAGGCGCCTCGTTCTCGTCCAGTTCTGTACGTCGACAACAAGGCCATGCTGGCCTTGTGTCAGGAGCACAGACTGGAGCACAGAACGAAGCACATTGCTCTGCGCTACTTCCTTGCTCGAGAGTTGCAGCAGCGTGGCCAGCTTTGTCTTGCTTACATGGCCTCTCAGGCCAACACTGCTGATGTTTTCACCAAGGCACTTCAGCCTTGTGATCATCAGCGTTTCTGTACTGTGTTAGGCCTTGTACCTACTGTGCCTCACTTGCTTTCTTCTTGACTCTGCCTGTACTGTACTCTTTATACATATACCTGCATGCTTACACTTGCTAGGTTGTGTTCACTGTATTGTTTGTTCTCCTTTATATAAGTCTGCATGTGAACTGGCCTTGTGGCCATTTGCTTGTGCTCAGACTGCGTGGTGACTTTGTGATCCACCCTGAGCTTGCTTTGCCTTTCTTGACTGGTCTTGTGACCTCTTGTTCTCCCCCACTTTGCCTATGGGGGTGTGTCAAACTTATATATGCTATAGTCTATTTAGGCTGTAGTGGGGTAGTTCTTAGAGGGTACAACACTTTTGTGTTTCCTACTTGTACCCAACTGCTTTCTAGTTCAATCATTCATTCGTTCACATTCTAACATCGCCAGCTCTTCTGGCGAAAAATAGCGGGGGTTATGCGGCTGGCAAGCCGCCCTTGCCAGACCCCTCGCGGTCCGATTTCCTCGTTCGCGGCCCATCGCACGAGTAGGAGGCGGGGTTGGAATTGTGGCCGTCCGATCGTCATCCTGTGGCCCCTCTGTGTTTCCAGATTATACCGTCGTTCCTCTCTGGCTTCCTCCCCCTCCTCTCGTCAAGTGCTCTTGCTCTTCCTCATTGTCCTCCTCGCTACTGCTGCTCGATGCCTGAGCCTCCTCCCTATAAGAGGGGTCGTTCCGCTCCTCCGGATCAGTATTCTCGTCGAGTCGAATTAAAGCCCGTCGCGCCGCCGCCTGGAAAGCGTTCTCCGGTCCTCCTTCGATTCGCCGCCCTTCCCGGCGTTCTGCTCCTCGTCTCCTCCCGCCTCGCGATGGTGATTGCTGGCGACTCGTGGCCATTGCCAAAGCCCGCTGCCTCTGCGTCAGGGGCGAGCGGAAGGTCACCGCCGGTGTCTGCCTCGGGGAGTGTTGCAATGAAGCCGCCAGTCCCCCCTGCCCCGAAATTAGCCCCCTTGGCCACTGGTTGCCCTGCGCCTCCGGCTCCGGGCCTCGTGTCGTGTGAGACGCAGGCTGCTCCATACCCTCCTGCACTCCCAACCCCTGCTGTTGCTCCGCCTGTCCCTGTGAACCCTGCGACAACGATTGCTGCCGCTGATCTTGCTCCACCAGATGCCCCCGCTCTTGACGCCCCGATGGTCGCCGCTGCCCCTGCTGGCGCCGTGGCATCGCAACCGGTGGTGTCCGCCACCACTGACGGCCCGGGCCAGGTAGCGGTCTTTGTTGCTCCCGCCCCTCCGACTGCGCCGCCTCCCGTGCCGGCCCCGGACGTCCAGGCGGTGCCTGATCCTGCGCCGCTCGCTGCTGTTCCCCCTGCTCAGCTTCAGCCGTCTCCGGGCCGCCGGCAGCATCGGCCTCACTCCTCGGCGCCACTTGACGAGCGAGCGACGACGCGGCGGCGACGCGACTCTCCTCGGCGCCGCGGTTTCCAGGCGAACTGGGCTGCGTCCCGCGGAGGTCGCGGTGGCTGGTGGGGAGGGCACGGGCGTGGTGGTGACTGGGGGTATGATCGGCCGGTGTCGATGGCCGATCTGCAGCGAGCTGTTTCCGCTGCAGTGCGCGAGGAGCGGAATGGGCAGGCGAGCCAGAGCAATTCGCCTCGCGTCGCTCCAACGCATGCGTCCCTTCCTCCTGCTGCTCCGTATGCACCGGCGCCTCCTCTTCCCCAATCGGCTGTTCCTCCTCCTCATGCTCCTGCTGCCTCTGCTGCTGCTCTGGGGAACCGTATGCGCCTGCCGTGGGTTCCTCCTGTGGCGGGTATGGAGTTTGTGACTGCGGCAGGGGGACCCGTGACGGGTCAGTATCCATCTCTGCTGCCCATCGCTCCCGCTCTGCCGTCTGCTGTGCTACCTCAACAGTCGCTGGTGGGGCCCTCTCCTTCCGCTGTGGTGCCGGAGGCTTCTCTGGGGCAGCTATGGCGCCTCTCGGAGGGTCTGCGGGCTGTTCACCTGATTCAGGTGTATGGTCACGCGGCTCTCGCCTAGGGTGTTCCTCTGGAGAGTGGCCATCAGGACGAGTGCCTAGATGCCGCTGATCGGCTGGGCGAGCTCCTTGCGCCCGTGTTGGCTGCGCCCGCGCGGGGTGGAGTTGCGGGCGTTGGACAGCTTGGGACGGCAGTCCGTGGGCTGCGCCGGTTTTTGCGCGCAGGGACTGCAGTCGACTTGATCGGCGCAACCACTGTGGTGGTGCGCGAGCTTCATCGCTCGTTGACGGGTCTTCTCGCCGTCCTTGACGCGGATCAGATGTAGCGTCCGCCTCTTCCTGTGCCATGTTGTTGCCGTGTGTTATCCTAGGCTGGTGTAGGTGATGCCATTGCTTGTATGTCTTGAATTATAGCTGCTTGTCCCTTTTCTTCCTTGCCGTTCCCTCACGCGCGGCCGAAGGCCGCGCTGTCGAGCGTCGGCCGTTGAAGGCGGCCGGCGCGAGCCTCTCGGTTGGGAGAAAGAAACCAACTTCAAACTGAATAATGAGAAGCTAGGCAGGCAACAAAGCCTTAAATACTAGGGAGGAAGGGGAAGGAGAGGCTAAGGACTAGGCCTATGCCTCTCTCTCTCTCTCTCCCTCTCTCTCTCTCTCTCTCTCTCTCTCTCTCTCTCTCTCTCTCGATTCAAACATCTAAGTGTATGTATCAATTTCCATTCAAGCTAGTGTATACATCTAGAGCAGGCGTAACTGCGCTTGGAGGTCAGGAGGTTTCCTGCCTCATTACAAATGCCCTGGCGTGATGTTGCTCCCCTTTGGCCTTGAGCAGATGGCCGCAAAACCAGCCTTCCACTGTCATTTTTGGCGTTTCTGTCACATATACGGTCCAACAGCCTTATCTCCTAGGCAGGCCCTCCTCCACACGTCACCCTCTGCCTAGAGGCACTGTCCTTTTGAAAATTCTCATGTTTCATGTATACTCACACATGCAACCTAAAAGCTACCTCAATCCTCTGCAGGACCCACCTTGTTCAGAACTTCCGGTCCCGAAAAGTTGCTTTGCAATGCTCTACCCATAGCTGATGAATGGTGATGGCAGCTACTGCTGTTTTTGGTAACGCTGAGTTGGATGTTGCGCTTGAAAAGAAGGTCACCCAACGAAGAAAACGTGCACACGGGATTGATCATTCAGAGAGCTATTCTGAGTGACGCGATGACTGTCTGAATTTTCAGGCAGTCGTAAAGGTAGTGTTTCACTGTCTCCTCTGCATTGCAGTGCAAGCACTTTGGCATCGAGCTAAGAAACGCCAGCCTCTCCCCCACTTGAAGATTGAGATTGTGCACCCTGATCAAAACATCTCAAGGGCGACTAGGAATGGCGAGCGAGTCCCGAATCTTTACCGCATGTTTCCAATTGATTTTCCTAACCCAACAGCTTGCCCACTTCTCCCTTCTTTGAGCCGAGCTGCTTTGCTTCCGCCAGGCTAACCGTAGTTGCTTTAACGAGGCCCACCGCTACTCTCCTCCCTCCGCCTATTCCCTGGTTTGCCTCGATGGGGCCAGCAGCAGCTCTCTCAATTTTTCTGGTGTTGCCGCAAACGCCTTCAGATCCAGCCGAGCAGGCCCCCTGCCCCCCAGCGACCTTGCGAGAGTTTTTGCGCTCTTGACCGCCCTACTCCCGTCTGCTCAAGTTGCAATGAGGTCCCCCAGACTCATGTCCCAAAGACGCCTGGCATTCTTCTGACCACCGATCGGGGCTTTCCCTTTGAGTGGGATCCCTTGATTAAACACGATCCGCTCCGCCGCTGCGTCCGTGAAGGTAAGCGGAGTGCTGGTTGTCGCAAACGGTGATAGCATGGAACTTTTGCAAGTTTGTTTCCAGCGTGCGCTCCGCCCCAGTGCTTCAACAGCTTCTCGTGCGATAAGAAGGAGTCCAGCCCCAACGGCAAACCCGCAGCATCCAACATCGTGTCCCGTTTGAAATCGTTGTTCTTTGTGAGCAGAAGGCCAATTCTCCTGGCCGCCAAGCAGGTGAGTAAGACCTCTGGGTCTCTCACTCCTACCCCCCCCTTCTCTCGTGGCACGAAGATGATGTCCTTCCCCGACAGAATGAAACAGCCTTTGTCGATGCTTTATTCCCCAAGCGGAAGTTACATCACGTCGATCCTCCCACAAATGTCTGCTAATGGTTGGTATACTGGGCAGATCGATGTGATGTAACCGTTGATGACCACTGCTCTAGCTATAATAGTGAGATATTTCAGCTGCCATTTGCTCAGCTCCCCTAGTATCCTCTCCAGTGTCTTTTCCCACGTCGCCTTGCAGTTACCCGAAGCCGTCACCCACATTCCGAGTAGTCTCTCCGCATTGTCCACTCCAGCACATTTCAAAACCGTCCGATCTACATGTCTTTCTGTTGAGATTTCTTCCCAGCAGCATCACGACTGACTTTTCCTTGTTTGTGGCTAGGCCGGATATGCTCTCAAAATAATCAAGCAGCTTCTCCGCCTTAGCAATTTGCTCCTTCCCGTGCAGCAACAGCGTGGTGTCATCTGCGTATCCTAGAGCAGCCTCTGTCCCAAGTTGTTGCTGATACCCGACTTCCTCTTCTCTGCTTCCTGCGCCAGTGGCTCCACCATGCATAAGAAGAGGTAGGGAGCAAGGGGGCACCCTTGCCGAACCCCCGAAATAACGTTCAGCGTGTCGCTTTTCCGGCTGTTGATTTACAACCACGCAGGTGCGTCTTTGTGCAGGCCCTTCACCCAACCCACGAAACAAGGAGGAAAGCCCATCTTCTCCAGCGTCTCGAAAAGGAAGCCATGTGAGACAGTGTTGAAAGCCTTTTTGAAATCCACGAGCAGTAAGGACCAGTCCTTGTCCCCCTTCTTTGCGGCATCAATTATGTCCGCTACTAGGCTGACATCATCAGACAGGCGACGTCCCGGTATTAAGCCGTATTGCTCTCGTGATATGACTCGATGCAGAACCCTTTTCATCCGGTCAGAAACCACCCTCGCTAGAACCTTGTAAGTGACGTTCAGAAGCGTGATGGGCTAGTAGTTGTTTAACTGGTACTTATCCCCCTTCTTATGCAGCAGTATCGTTACCGCCTCCTTAGTGCTTGAAGGTAGCAATGCTGTCGCTTCAAATGTGAGGGTGAGATCCATGAAGCCCTTCCCACGGATGTCCCAGTGCAGCTCGAACAGCTACTTCGGGATTATGTCCAGCCCCAGCGACTTCTTACAAGCCAGCATTTTGAAGGCGTGTCTGACCTCCTACTCTATCCAGTCCTGTACTAGACTATCTGTCGCCTCAAAGTACTCGCTGAAAAAAAAACATGCGGCTCGCAAGATGCCTTGGTTTTCCTTTATTGATGGGATTAAGGACAAAGACTTGGAAGATTATGGGCCGAAAAAACTCAAAATCGTTGGACTAAAATTCTGGACAGAAATGTTGACTTCACAAGAAACGCCGTCGACAAAACGTTCACAGTTAAAATTTCAGATATGTTGTAGCACTAAAACGGTGGCTACAATTCCCAATTTGAATCGCATGGAAAGGTGAAGTATTTATTGAGTTAGGAATTTCGGCGCGCTAGGGGGTATGCTGGAGCTCAAACTTAACTCAATCACAATATTCTCGCAAGAACCACACAAGAGAATTAGAGTAGCAAGAACCAGGTAGGAGGATGAGGAGGACGAGAGGGAAGGTCCCAAGGGATTCCCCAACCAAGGAAACCCATAGTCACACAATTTCCCCTCCCTATAGGAACCCAACTTTGACCCTTGTCCTTTTCCCAACCTTCCCAATCTACCTCACCTCAATTTGGCCACACTTGCCAACCTGGTGTGGCTTCTCCCAACCATTTGGCAGCAACTACAGTGAAGGTGACGAATTTACCAACCCCCAATGGTCTATACCCCCATATAAAGTCACCCTACAATTCCAATAGTCGCCGCAACCAAATAACAAAAGCATACGAACTTCAACCGTTTGTAACTTTCTCGTCCGTGCTCCGATCGCGACGATTCTTGGTTCGTCGGAAAGCTCTTGAGCAGAGGAGTCACTTCAAATTCTCAAGCATAATAAAATTCACACACAATCACAAAGTCCAAACCAAACCAAACACAAATTCTTATGCATGCCCACACCATGCATGCAATACACGAACATAAGATGGGAGGCAGACAGACGTAAATGCAAATGATAGCATCACATAACATTTATCACTGCGTAGTTGACATTTAATTTGGCAATCTGAGTGCGCTGCTTCCGTGCCTTCACTCTTGCTGTCAGGTGCATTGAGGCAATCTCTCCTTTGAGCTCTGCTTCAAACCCGGCCATCATATGCAGCCTGTCTCGACGAGAGGCCTCGTACTCCTTCAGCTGGTCCCTAGAAGCTCACGTAACCGCGGACAGTCAGAAACCATCACCTCCTGTTTCAGCTTCCCCACTGCTTTCAATAGGTGGCGCATCGTCGCCTTAACCCTCTTATTTTCCTCCTTTGCATACGCCCTGAGCCCTGCATTCAACCTTGCCAGCAGCAAGATGTAGTCCCCTCCTGATTGCTTCACTGTTGCTTCCACCACTTTCCGTACCCCGCTCTGTTGACCAGATGTGCAAGGAGCCTGCTAGGATGCAGTGTTGGGGAAGTGTCAGATAACTGGAAGCTCCTGCATCTCTCGACTAGCCTGTCGTTCCCGGCATCTGATCCTGCACGAGATGTTTTGTCTAGGAACGGATCATCTATCATGTTCAGGTCCCCAATGAGGAGGAGGTGGCTACCTTGTCCTACCTGGTCTACAACAGGTCCGATGATGTCTCTAATGAAGATGGTGAGTGCTGCTGCGGAAGCTGGAAAGTAAGTTGCGAGAATGTAAATGTTAAAACCTTTACCTATTACCTATATGATTATCAATCTACCGGAAGGGTGAGCCAGTGTGTCCTGTAGTTGCCTGGTTCCCATCAGATGACTGCTACTCCGCCGACTTTAGCCCTTGGTGAAGTCGCAACTACTGTGGCGTTTGGTAAAGTGTTCCAGTAACTGTGACCATCGACTAGCCTAGTGTCTGACAGAACATTGATGTCTGCTGCACCTCTTGCCCATGTGGTGACCCATGATCGATTTGTTGCATCTCTGAGATCGTTCGCGTTAAGACTGACGAAGGATAATACATTCTTGTTACTCATCTGGACACTCCTTGGCAGCCCCTACGCATCCACCGGCTGAAAGCTGGTACAGCTGAGTCAATGCTGACTACTGAAAAAAAAGCTAATGCTACTGTTGTCGACCATGCTGTTAAAGACAGTAATTTCTCTTGAGCAG